AAGGGGATGCCTGGGTGGCTCAGTTAAGCGTCCAACTTCAGCTCAGGTCACGATCTCGCGGTTCGTGAGTTTGAGCCCTGCGTTGGGCTCTGTGATGACAGCACGGAGCCTAGATCCTGCTTTGGATTCCGTGTCACCCTCTCTCTCTGCCCCAATCCTGCTCATGGTCTCTCTCTCTCTCTCTCTCAAATAAATAAGACATTAAAAAATTTTTTAAGAATACTTGATTCGAAATAGTTTCTTCCACAAGAAACAAAAAGTATTGGTGAGGATGTGGGGAGAAAGGAACCTTTGCTACAGTGTGGTGGGAAATGGAAATTGGCACAGCCACTATGGAAACCAGTATCTCCATACTCCTCAAACAATTAGAAACAGAAATACCATATGATTCAATAATTCTACTACTGGGCATTTACCTAAATTGAAATACCAATGCAAAAAGATATATGCACCCCTATGTTTATTGCAGCATTATTTGCAATAGCTAAGGTATAGAAAGCAACCTAAGAATCCATCAATAAATGGATAAGGAGAATGTGGTGTGTACACACACACACACACACACACACACACACACACGAATATTACACAGCCATCAAAAAAAAAAAAAAAAAGATGAGAATGTGTCATTTGTGACAACACAGATGGACCTAGAGGGCATTTATGCTAAGTGAAATGAGTTAGACTGAAAAAGACAAATACTGTATGATTTCACTCACACGTGGAATCAAAAAAAATATGACCAAACAAAAAAGCAGCAGCATCAGATCTGTAAACACAGAGAACAAACTGACGGCTGCCAGCAGGCAGGGGGTGGAGGGATGGGCAAAATGCGTGAAGTGGGGGGTGGGAGATCCAGGCTTCCAGCTACGGAATAGATATGTCACAGGAATGAAGCGCACAGCACAAGCAGTATAGTCGATGATGCTGTGATAGTGGTGTGTGGTGACCGGTGGCAGTTATGCTTGTGGTGAGCACGGCATAATGTATACATCCGTGGAATCATGATGTTGTACGCCTGGACACGTAACATTATGCGGCAACTCTACGGGGAAAAAAAATCCAAAAGGCCAAAACAGTTACTTCCATGCTTCCGGGGTCCTGGTATGCATCTAAAAGTGTGAGTAGACTAAAGGCTCCTCTAAGAAAAGCTGGCCCTTCCTTCAGGGCCCCCAGAGCCCTCTAGAAGTCCATGACCCTCCTCCTGGCGTTTGGGCCCCTAACGCTCAACACAGAATGCTAACCCTGCCTCCTTCAGATTAGCATCTCTTCTTAATCAGCGACCAGTGAGTTGGCAACAGTGAAGTGGCCATAAACCGGCAGGTCCGAAGGAGGTCCCAACCCAGTGGTCACATTAACGTACCTCTCTGTGAGATGAGGTTCGCCCTGCGGTAAAGGCAGAAAGCCAGACACACCGGCTCCTTCAGAAAAGTGTTCACGAAAACGTTTTCACATAACTTCTACTTTTACAGAGGGCTGCTATTTAAAACATCCACTCCAAGATTACTTCTGTGTCAGCTGAGGACATCCTTCATTATGTTATCCAGTGTCTCTAACAGAAGATCCTGTGAATTAAATGTCATCTTGGACTGTTCT